ACGTATGATTCGTCGTGCTGGGAACATCTGAAACCCTCCCTCCTGGGTTTCTGAAAATATACAACGGATCGTCTTTGACTCTGCTCACCTGCCGTCCGCGGGGCACAGCACGGTGCTTCCCGCGGGCCGTGACTGCGCGCCCGTCCGCCGGTCTCCCCCCAGCTCCCTCCCGCTCCACCGTTCTGCTCCCCACTTCCCCGCGGTCACCCTCCTTCACTCCCACACGCGCGAGAACACGAGACACGTCTCTGCGTCTGGCTTATTCCACCTAACATGGTAACTTCCAGCTCTATCCGTATTGCTGCCAACGACAGGACCTCATCCTTGTATGGCTGAACGTGTCCCACCATGTGCACACACCACACCGGGGGCCGATTCCGTGTCCTGGCCACCGTGAACAGTGCTACGGCAAACGCGGGGTGCAGACGTCCCTTCCACAGACTGGCTTTCTTTCCTTTGGATAGACGCCAGCCATGGGACTGCTGGGCCGGATGGTAGTTCTACCTTCAGTTTTTGAGGAACCTCCATTCTGTTCTCCGTAGTGGCTGCTAGTTTACGCCCCCGCCAACCGTGCGCGGGGCTCCGCGTCCTCGCCGGCACCTGTCATCTAACGTCCACACCACCCAAAGTGACCTGCGGATTCCACGCAATCCCTATCAAAACTCCACTTGCATTTGTCACAGAAACAGAAAAAACAATCCTAAAATTTACTTGGAACCACAAAAGACCCTCAATATCCAATGTAATCTTGAGAAAGAACAAAGCTGGAGGCAATGGCCAGGTGCGGTGGCTCACACCTGTAGTCCCTGTGACTCTGGAGGCCGAGGTGGGAGGATCGCTTGAGGCCAGGAGTTCAAGACCTGCCTGGGCAACACAGCAAGACCCCATCTCACTTCCTGATTTCAAACTACACTACAAGGCCATGGTAATCAGAGCAGCAGGCTATGGGCATAAAAATAAGAGCCATCGACCAAGGGAACAAAGCAGAGAGCCCAGAAGTAAACTCACTCGTGTACAATCAACTATGATTTGACAAGAGCTCCAGGAAGACACATAAATGGGAAAACTGGATATTTACACGTGAAACAATGAAACCGCACCTTATCTAACACCACTCACAAAACTAACTCAAAATAAAGACTCGAATGTAGTACAAGACCCGAAACCGTACAACTCCCAGGAGAAAGCAAGGAAAAGCTCCCAGACACCAGCCTTGGCCGTGACATGCACCAGAGGACAGGCACGAAGCACAGAGAGATGGCGGGGCCACGACAAACCGCAGAGCTCTACACGGCGGAGAGACAACCAGCTCAGGGAAAGGCGGCCTGCGAACGGGAGGAGACGTTTGCAACCGCGTATCGGATGACGCTGACGTCTAGAATGTTAACATCTGCGAAACATCTGCATATTCAACGGCACAGAAACAACACGGTCATGATAAAAAGTGAGCAAAGAGTCGGAACAGACATTTTTCCAAAGACGACACGCAAACGGCCAACAAGTACAGGGAAAGTGATGGCTTCCGTCACTGGTCACCATGGCGCGGCCAGTGGAAGCCACGGCGAGCCGCCGCCTCACACCCGTCAGGACGGCCACCGTCACAGCCCGCCGCGTTTCCCCAGGGTTCCCGCCACGCCTTTTCTGTACCAGGACCCCACCCGGGAAGCATTTAACCGTCACGCTCCCGAGGTGGACAGCTGCTTGGGCTCTGCCATCTCCCGTGACTTTGGTGCCCATCAGAACGCCGGTCTCTCCGCAAGGGTTTGTCTGAAGATTCTCGTGACCAGACGGCAGCCGGGCGTGTTTTCAAAAATAAAGAAGTGATGTTGTGTCCTCGCAGCCCCTCGTCCGCACGGATCCCTCTCCGTACCCTGCCCAGTTCCAGCAGCATCTGGAGGGGGCCACGCCTGCGCCCTTCACTGACCTCTGCTCCCCGCACCCCAGGCCTGGCCCCTCGCTGCCTGCCCTCCGTCTGAAGCTGTGGCCCCGAGAGCACGGCCACGGGGGCTTCCCCACAGACGACCACGCACAGCAGCTGCACGAGCCTCCCGCTGGTGCCAGCGTCCACACGGCCCTGCGCAGGGTCCTCTGGGGTCAGGAGGGCTCAGCACCCTGGACCAGGCGTCTTGCGGGCGTGGAGGACGAGCCTGTCCCTGCCCTTCTGCTCAGCACCCTCACCTGGCGGCCGTGGGGCTCCCCCAGAACAGGCTCCCGAGACACGCCGGCCACAAAACCACGGGTGCTGCTTTCTGAGTGAACCTGCCAAGCCGACCACGGGCTCCGGCTCTGACCAAGAGCACACGCGTGGGGTGAGGGTGCTGCCCGCCTGCCCGCCAGCGTCTGCCGCGGCTGTCTCCACCTCGCCACAGAGGCACGTTCTGCTGCTGCCACTCTCTCCTGCTCAGCCAGCTCGGCCTTCCTGCCTCCCGCCGCGGTGAGTTAGTGACGTCCAGCACCAGACCGTCCGGGAAATTACGCCTCTCAGCGCGCCCGGCGACGTCTCACCTGCGGGCACTAACCGGCAATCAGACGCCGTAAAAGGTGCTCTGGGTGTGCTGATAATTCACCGCCTCTGCCGGGCACCGTGGGAGTTTGGCACCACGAACCTGGCATGGAACAGTCTGGCAGCTTCTCCCCGGGCTTCGCCTCGACGCTGCCTCGCCTGCCGAAGCTGTGGTCCACGTAAAGTCCTTTGAGACATTTCATACGTTTGTATGCTTACTAAAGCCAGCTAGGGATGACGCTAAGACTAAGTCCTAGACGGACGAGGGGCCACAGCCTAAGAACATCTGTGCTGTGATTAGCGACGAAAAAGACTTTCGACGTTTTATTAAAGGGAACCACGGAAACATCTGTCTTTCTAATGACCTGGAAAAATGCATCTGGAGACAGCATCACACTCCACCGTGGGGTCTGGACACAGGGTCGCTGCTTCGACCCCACCCCGCCGGCCCCTCCTCATCACCTGTGGCCACTCGTGCTCTACCTGGGCTGGGCCTTGCCATGGGGCTCCCCAAAGCTCTACCCGGCCGGCCCTCCTGCTGCGGTGCGGCCCCACACACCTGGCCTGGCGGGAGGCAGGTGCGCCGCCCTCTGGAGTGACGTGGCGACGCCCTGCTGCTCCAGCTGCCTCCAGCACGTCCTGGGGCCCCGCCCACTGAGCCCTACGCAGAGCTAACCACACACGGTCACCACGCAGGCGGGTATCACGGAGTACGGGGTGGGCTCCTGGGAATCGGGCCGGCCTTCTGCGTCCACACGGTCAGACCACAAGGATGTCAGAGGTGACCCAGCCGCCAGGCGTGCCCTGGCGCCCGCTGTCCATAAGTGCCCGCGTCTCCTCACGTGGAGCGGCCTGCCCCTCCCTGGCCACCAGGGCATGGTGACATCCGAGGGGCAGGAGCACCGGGGCTGAGGCCGCCATGTCGCGACGCGGGGAGGGAGAAGGGAGGCTCCCAGCCTCCTAGTCCTGGGTCGCGAGGGCCTCGGCCTTGAGGCTGTGCCGGAGTCTCCTGCTGCTGCGGCCGGGCTGCCGAGACTGACGTGGCTGCGTCTGCCGAGACAGCGGGCGAGCCTGGCCCCGGGGACAGGCGTCAGGCGTCTCGTCCAGGCGCCGGCCTGTCCACCCCCGCGCAGAGCAGATGTCCACGGGCTCCGGTCAGGCTGGTGCTGGCCGAGACGTGAGGGGACGGGCGAGGGCCTTGGGGGGCCACACGCACCTGCCGACGGGCCCCGGGCAGCTCCCGCTGGGAACGTCACCGCCTGAGTCTGCAGCTGGCGCGGGTGAGACGGCGCCACAGCCCCGCAGGGCCCGGCCCCCACGCACGGCCCAAGTGCCAGGCCAGGGCTGGCGGGGAGGCCGTGGAACACTCAGGCTGAAGCAGAGGAGGAGACGGCGGGACGACCACGTGAGGTCCTGGCACGGCAGCCGCCCCCAGGGCCAGGAGCAGCCGTCGCGCCACCCTAACTCCTGGTGAGTGTGCGATGGGCCCAGCCCCCAAATCCAAACAATCACGCTAGCATATCTGCACAGGGCCTCCAGTGTAACAACCTGAATATTTAATAATAATTCTAGTATAAAAATTAAGATCTAACGAACAGTGAGAAGTGCAAGAGAGAGTGAGTGAAGGTCGCCAAACTCTGCTCAGCGCAGTCGGAAGGAAGCACGTCACTCTCGATTTCCAAGTTCAAGGAAGGTCTCGGAAACCGTGAAGGCAGCCGCTGCCAGAAGGAAAAGCAGGAGGGATGTGTGTCTGCCTTGCGCATCTCCGGGGACCAGCAGGGACATGGAGGACAGACGGGCACAAGGCACGCGCAGCCCGTTCGTCCGCCAGATTCCAAGGAAACCTCCCCCACGCACTTGGCTTTCTAGTTTGTTTCGTTTTTCTGAGGGTCTCGCTCTGTCACCCGGCTACAGTGCAACAGCGTCATCACAGCTCACTGCGGCCTCCAACTCCTGGGCTCCAGCGACCCTCCGGCCTCGGCCTCCCGAGCAGCTGGGACTATAGGGGCCACGACGCCCGGCCCGTACGTGGCTTTTATAAGAGACACACCCAGAACCAGGCGAGCTGGCGTCCACAAGAAAGGACTAGCAGAAAAGGCTTCCCGGCAGAATCACAGATGACCCCCATATGGCACGTGACTTTCACCCTTTAAAAACGATCTTTGCAGCATTTCAGACACCCCGGAACCCGCGGGAGGGGCTGGGGGAGAGGGAGTGGCCCAGGCGGCTGCTCCCCGAGAGGCTCCTGGCGAGGTGAGCCCCGTGGGCTGTTTCCCGCAGTCGCGGCCGCGAACACGGCGGGAGGAGCCAGCTGAGTTCCAAGTGCTCAGCCGTCGCTGCGGGACGCGGAAGGACATGGGGCTGGCCAGGCCGGGCCGAGGGGAGGACAGAAAGCCACAGGCCAGCGAGGGGGACACATCCCACCTCGCCTGGAAGCCGCACGGCTCAGCCGCGGGCATGGTTCGGCACGTCGCTGACAAACCAGAGCTCTACTTACCGCGCCGAGCATGATCCTGAACACCAGCCAGCGGAAGCCCCACAGGACGACCCGGGACGTGGGGCTGTGCCTGGGCAGTCGCGCCAGGGTCCACAGCGGGCACAGGAACACCCCCAGGAACCCTGTTTCCAGGAGCTGGGACTCCCATCCTGAAACGACAGACGAGACGCGGCGTGTCAGCAAGAGCCAGAAGTGCACAGAGAAGCCGTCTCCCCCACTCGGTTCAACCGGCACAGTCCTTAACGTGGGACTGACCTCGCCACCGAGCGGGCACGAGCCCCACCGCGTCCGTCTGAACAGCAGTAGCGTCTGCGCAGGAAACAAGGACGTGCCTTGGCCGCCATCCCCGTGTGGGACGGTAGCGGCGAGCGCGGCACGAGAAACCCGACGGGTTCGTCCATCTCGGCTCTGTGCTCACAGTCGGGACGGCCCACGTTCCCACAGAAACCCACTGAGCCAAGCCCCGTCATGGATGTGGCTGTCCCTGAAGCTCACCATCCTGGGGGACCAGGGGCCCCACGCCAGCCTCCCCGGGCACCAGACAGGACCAGAGCCCACCTGCTCCGCGTGACACTGACGGACGCCTGGCATTGAGAACAGCACCTGCGCACGCACACACGGGGACGTGGCGGGGCTGGCAGGACACGTGGACAGAGGCTCGCAGTGGGGGTCCTTCCCTAGCTAGAAAGTATTTTAAAATAAAAGCTTTTAAAGAAGAAGCTAACAAAGTAGCGCTGAACTACAACGGAAAGCATGAGATACGCATCCCTGAGTCCACGATGACGTAAATCATCAAATCGACAGGGACACGGGGACCAGGACACGCCCCCTGCAGAAGAATCCTCACGACCCACGCAGACCCCCCAGAGGCAGAGCGCCAGGCCCGCGTGTGGCCGCGCACAGACTCCTCCCAAAGAGCGCAGGACGGGAGGGGCGGAGTCGCCCACGTGGAGAGGACCAACAGCTCGCCAGGCGGGGACGCGTCCCGTGGGCAGCGGTATCCGGGGACCGTGTGCAGAGGTGTCGTCCTCCCCAACCCGGCCACTGTGAGACGACCAACGACACCCGTGGACGGGCGCCCCGTCCACATCCCAGAACCCCCAGAGCCGTCCCAGTCACCAAAACAAGGAAAGCCCAAGACGCCTGAGGAGACGTGGCCACCAAGCGTCCCTGGGACCCTGGGTCGGGAAGGGCCCCGGGGAAGGACCGAGGGAGCGGGAGGCCGCGTGGACGTGGCTGACGAGCTGTGTGACCAACGAGCCGCACTCACGCAAGATGCCGGCTCCGCGGAGCTGGGTGTGGGGTACGCGGAACTCCATGTACCAGCTCCGCGATTTTTCTGTAAATCTAAAATGCTCTGAAAGATAAAACCTATTTTAAAAAGTTGGGGCTTGCGGCTGTGCCCCAGCCCTGGCTCCGCTCGGCCCGAGGGTCTGCCCCGCCCCCCATCCTCCAGCCCTGCGCCCGGGTTTGCATTTCGCTCTAACGACTATCACCCACGAGACGGGACGCCAGCCTGCCGCCAAGGAGGCAGCCGACGAACACCCCCAGCGCCCTCCTGCGGGTCACCGACGGTTCTAACGGGAACCTGTGGCTGGAGGAGACTGGGGGGGCTCTGACCACAGGCAGGACAGGCCTGGCTGTCTGGGAGCAGCAGACACCGGACCCCGAGACGGCAGCTGCAGCAGTGGGGTCCTAGGGTCCTTCCGGGGCGGAGGACGCAGCGGGTGCGGGGGGCCCTGGGACCCCCGAGCTGCCTCCCAGGGCTGTGCAGCTGCAGCTTGTCACCAAGAGGAGGAACACCGAGGGGCCGGTTTACCGGGGACCCACCTGTCACCAGGGACCCGGGGATCACGCAGTGACTTAATCCCAACGAGATGGATCCCCAGACGCGCTGAGTAAACAAGGCTTTAGACAAGGGCAGGCACACTGTGGTTCCCCTTACAGAAAGTTCTGGAACGAGCAGAACTGGTACAGGTTAAAGGAACCACAGCAGCACCCGGGGGCGGCCGTTGCCACCAGGCCCAGGGGGTGTGGCCTCCCAGCCCCTCCGGAGCGGCCCACGGTCCTAACGCGGCTCGGGAGCAGGCGGGCCACTGAGCAGAGGCCTGGGGGTCTCGTGCAGCAGGCCCCTCCACCCGCGCCCCCAGGGCTCCCTGGCCCCATCTCCCCAGCAGGAGCTGGAGCCGCCGGCCGGCTGCGGGCCCTCGCGGACGCTCTGGGCAGGGAAGGGTCGCGAGGACCCCCCTGCCTCTGTCTACTGTGCTCGGGTCCCGCGGTGTCCCAGCAGCTGTGCCACCGGACAAGGAGCATCATTGTTCTCCACCTCAGCGTGGGGGACGGCGCGTCCCCCAGAAAAACAAACAGCCCGCGCCTGCCAGGGCCGAGGGGCTGGTGTCTCTTCGCGCTGCTCTTGCCCAGCGCGCCCCGGGCAGCACGGAGGACAGGGCAGCCGCAGACCCACCGAGCGCCTGTCCCAGGCACGCGGCCCTCCACGCACGACGTCTGGGCTCTACTGCCCGCCGGGCCCTTCCCCGGGGGGAGGTGGCGGGGAGGACGGTGGCTCTGGCACAAAACCAACCCGCTGGAGAAGCCGCAGGCACAAAACCAAGGGAGCCACTCGGCACGAGAGGCCGGGAGGCAGGTGCAGCCAGGGACAGGAGGGCGGCCGGGGCTGCACTGCTTTCTGGAGGTGCCGGCCTGAGGCTGGGGGCTCACTGTCCCCCAGGGACGTCCCCAGAGGCTCCCACCTCGGGAGGACACAGTGGGGGGCACAGACACCGCCCTGAGGCCGGGGCCACACTCCAGGAGTCCACGGGGCGCGTCCAGCTCAGACCTCACAGACGACTGGCCCCAGTGCAGGTCTGACCGCAGCCTCGGGGGCCGCCGCCCCGTCCACGGCCCCAGGTCCTCGCCTGTGGTGTGCAGACTGCCCGGGCGTCAGTCAGTCGTGACCCCCGGCAGCTCGGCCCCGCGGACTTGGACCAGCCCCGGCCGGGCAGACTCGTGGCACGGGGTGAGGGAACCAGACCCCCGTGGCAGAGCCAGCCCCTCCCGCTCATGGCTGGTGCTGACCTCAATGCCAGCCCACGTTCCGTGTCCACCTGCTGGGAAAAACTTGTCTGCAGGCATGACGACACCTGTCCCCCGGGCCAGCTCCGACCGCTCCTGAGACACAGAGAAACGCTCCACGTTCAAGAAAGAGCGATGGCTTCAGTACAAATCCTTCCAGCATCGGTGACCAGCCCGGGTGTCAAGTGGACAAAGGCAGGAAGAGCCTCACCAAGGGGCAGTGACAGGCCAGAGCGGGTCACACACCGGAGCCTCGCGCACCGTGGCCTCCCTGCCTGGCCTCCCTGCCCTGCAGGACCCGCGCAGACGCTGGCTCCTGGGGCCCGCAGGAAAACGCACACTCAGCGTGGGCCGCAGGCCACGGTACTGCTCCGGCCTTCCCAGTTCTCTCCCTTCCTCCCTCCAGCCGCGGTGGCGAGACACCCGCTGCCGTGGGCTCAGAAGATGTGGTTTCTCTGCACTAAGTCCCCAAGCGCACACCACTAATGACACGTAGACGCGGAACCAGAGGGCCACGCGGTTCTCACCCAAAACCAAGGCTGAGAACTCCTTGTGCTGGCCCAGGAAGGGGCGTCCTCCGACCTCCGACCTCCCGAGGCTCACAGGGTGCCAGGCATTGCCCTCCCACCTGCCTTGCAGACGGCGAGTCTGATACTACCTGTTTGGGCACCTATTTAAAACCAGCCGAGGGAAAAACGCCCAGGACCCGGGCTTCGGACAGCCAGAGCAGCAGTCCAAGGGGCGCGTGGCCTGGGGACACGCAGGCTGCGCAGGCCGGGCGGGTACAGCAGGGGCCGGAACACCCACGAGGAGCCGGACACAGGACAGGGCTGAGGGTGGCCCAGCAGGTGGAGCCGCGTGGCAGGGCAGAGAGCTGCCTTCCGCCCAGAGCCCCCATCATCGGGGTGGCCCGGGGCTGCCCGTGCTCTAGGGCCGTACTTGGGGCACCCGCTCCCCAGTAAAACCAGCGCAGCAGCAAGGCCGCGCCCTTCTCTGCTCACGCACACCAAAGACGGAGGAACCAGACGATTCGCCACCAGGAGGCCTGATCCGCGCCTGGTGACAGGGGAGGGAACAGGCACCGAACCAGCGAGGGGCGGCGCGGCCAGGGCTACTGCTGCGGGGGCACCGGCGTGACGCGGCTGCTTGTGGTGGGAAGGGTGAGGACGCTCAGCCAGCAGCAGCTCCTGCCGACAACTGACCGTGGCCGCCGTGGTTGGTGGGGGGCATCGCGGCGGCCGGCGAGGGCGGGACGTGCCCTGCCAGGCAGAGCAGGGCTAGGCCTGAGCTGGAGTTTTTTGTGAGAGCAGCAAAGAGGCAACGACAGTTTGAGACAAGCGGTCACGGAGCTGGATTTTCAAGAGTCAATTTGACTGAATTACGTAAAACGCGTGAAACACCGGCCCCTGCCAGAGGCCCCACCGAGGCGGAGGAATCGGGGCAGGGGCTGAGGACGGAGGTGCGGGAGGAGGGAGGGGGCCCTTGGGATGGGTGGGGACGCCCAGCCCACTTGCTCCAGGTCAGCGAGGGCCGGACCGGAGGCACGTCGTGGTCTGGCTGGAGTCACGTGTGCCGAGGCTGGACGGGGAGCGAAGGCCGCCAGGGTGAGCTGGAGCCAGGCGGGGGCTGGGGCGGGGGCTGGGGCGGGGGCTGGGCAGGGGCGTCAGGCCCGGGAGACGCACGTGGTCAGGTCAGTGTGTTGGGGCTGAGCCGCCTCTGACCACGGCAGAAACGTGATTCAACACGACGTTTCAGAGGCGCGAACCACCACGATGGCCACGCCAGCAGGAAAACACCAACTGAGGTCTCATTAACTTTGTTGAAACTATTTCAGCTGCTTGGAGAGTGATTAAATATAGCACAGATGGATCCTTCAGAAATGACAGCCGCCATCCGAGTTAGAAGCAGGAAATCCATTAGCTGCGCTGCTGCGACGGGTGCGGGAGCGCCCTTCCCTCCCGCCCGGCTGTCACTCAGCGCCGAGCTGGCCGCCCTCTGCCACCCGAGGGGCTTCTAATCGTGGCCCTGGAGAGAGCTGGGAGCTTTTAAAAGTTTCCTCAATCTTCACAGGTTATATTTT